AGCCGGTGGCGACAGGCGGCGGCGGCGGCGAGGGGAAGAAGAGGCGGAGAGAGAGACTTAGTAGGAGAGAGAGAGAAAGCGTCGGGGGAAAATGAAGAGGAAGAAGATAGGGTATATTAGATCAGACTTATTTGCGACTACATTGTCATCGCAAATAAATTTAAAATGTCGTCGCAAATAATATGAAATTATTTGTGACGATAAATGTCGTCACAAATAAAGTGAAAATGTCGTCGCAAATAATCATTTTTTCCGCGTTTAGTTTTTGGTGAAATCTTAAAAAGATTATTTGCGACGACAAAGAGAAAATGTCATCGCAAATAACATGGAATTATTTACAACGACATTTATCGTCGCAAATAATAAGATATTTGCGACGACTTGTCGTCGTAAAAAATGGATTACCATGGCGGTAAAAATTCGCACCATTGAAATTTGCGCGCTAAAATTATTAGCGACGACATTGTTGTTTTATTTAATGGGGAATAATTGCGACAATCGCAAATATTGTATTATTTGCGACGACATTTGTCGTCGCAAAAAATGTCGTCGCAAAAATCGCTTTTTCTTGAGGTGCGCCTCCCAATGCTTCACCATCACCTTCATCAGCACCCACTCCATCCACCACCACACCGCCAAGTCCCAACCCCACGCCGGCGACGATTTCTTCGCCCACACCGGGCTTGACATACGCTACCGCGCCATCTCCGATGGCCTCCCCGTCGAGTTCGACCGATCGCTCAACCACGACCAGTTCATGGCTGCTCTGCTGCATGTGTTCTCCGCTCACGTGGAAGAGGCTGTCGAGAACATCGTTAGGTCTTCGGAGCAGCCGCCAGTTAGTTGTCTGATTGCGGATACGTTTTTCGTTTGGCCTTCCAAGATTGCTAAGAAGTTTGGTTTGCTTTATGTTTCTTACTGGACTGAACCGGCTTTGGTTTTTACACTTTATTATCATCTGGATCTTCTTAGGAGGAACGGCCCTTTTGCTTGTCACGGTACGATTTTTTTTTCTTCTTTCTAAATTTCACCTTAATTTTTCCTTCTCTTTGAGAAATATGATATCTTTCAAATATGTTGTGATTTAACATATGAAATGTCTTTGTTTGAACGTTACATTGTCATGTAGTAATTTAGGCCTTAATCCTTATCTGCATGATGTCGGTCACCGAAAAATGTTGTGAAATCGCCGCCACGTCTATACTACACATATATGATATATGCAATGTTATACATGAGTATTGTATCTCCCAAAACAAAAAATAAAAATAAAAATAAAACAAGAGTATTATCACAAAAAAAATAAATAAACATGACTACTTCATGTTGTGTGTATAGTGCCGGTTTAATGTAATATATATATATATATATATATATAGATCATAAGAATATTCCATCGAAAATATAGATCATAAGTATAAAGTATAAACAGAAACAGTAACAATAAATTAATAATAATAATAATAAGACAACTTTAATTATTAATTTATCACATTATTGTGAAAAGCTTTGTGCGTTTCATGTACTAGAAGCCTACATATTTTGATTAAGAACTAGTAGTGGTTATTTAATTTTTAAGATACAGCAGTCAATATTAGTGTCTAAAGCACTCCTCAATTAACATACATAAAAAAAGGAAAAAAAATACCCTTTTTTTTGGGGGGGGGGGGGGCGGGGGTGGGT